CTGGGAACTCGAAGAGACGAAAAGGACTGACAGAAACTAAAAGGGACTAAAAGGGACTAGAAGGGACTCGAAGGGAGTGAAGAGCTTAAAGGGAAGGGACGGAAAGGACTGAAAGGGACTAAAAGGGTCTCAAGGGACTAAAAGGGACTAAAAGGGACTCAAAGGGACTGAAGAGCTTAAAGGCTGCAATCGTACAGAAGGGACGGAAAGGACTGAAAGGGACTAAAAGGGTCTCAAGGGACCAAAGGGACTAAAAGGGACTAAAGGGACTAAAAGGGACTAAAAGGGACTCAAAGGGACTAGAAGGGACTAAGAGAGACCAAAAGGGAGCACATGGCACGAAAGAGACTGAAAGCAGCTACAAGGCGACAATCGTACTGAAGAGACGGAGGGGAACTGAAAGGGACTAAAAGGGACTAACAGAGAGTAAAGGGACTGATAGAACCAAAGGGAACTAAAAGAGAGTAAAAACAAAAGTAAAAGAGACAAAAAGACACCGGAGGGCGTCAAAGGAGCTAAAACGCTACCATTATACTGAACGGACGGAAAGGGACTGAAAAAGACGAAAAGCGACAAAAAGGAACTAAATGGACTACAAAAGAGTAAAAGGGACTAAAAGGGACTAACAGGCACCACAGGACTTGAAAGGAGCTTAAAGGCTACAATCCTACTGAAGGGACGGAAAGGGACTCAAAGGTACGAAAAGAGACTAAAGGGATAACAAGAAACTCAAAGGGACTAAGAGGGACCAAAAGGGATTACATGGTACGAAAGAGACTGAAAGGAGCTAAAAGGCGACAATCGTACTGAAGAGACGGAAGGAGACTGAAAGGGACTACAAGGGACTAACAAAGACTAAAGGGACGAAGCGAACCAAAAGGAACTAAAAGGGACTAACAAGAAAGTAAAAGGGACAAAAAGACACAGAAGGCCTCAAAGGAGCCAAAAGGCTACCATTACACTGAAGGGACGGTAAGGGATTGACAGGGACTAGAAGCGACTAAAAGGATCTAAACGAACTACAAAAGACTACAAGGAACGAAAAGGGACTACAAGGGACTAAGAGGCACTACAGGGATTGAAATGAGCTTGAAGGCTACAACCCTTCTGAAAAGACGGAAGGAAACTGAACGGCACTAAAAGGGACTAAAGGGACTAAAAGGGAGTCAATAAAACTACAAGCGAATAAGAGGGACCAAAAGGGACTACAAGGCACGAAAGAAACTGAAAGGCTACAATCATACTGAAGGAGCGGGAAGGGATTCAAAGGGACTACAAGGAACTAAAAGGGACTACAGGGACTAAAAGAGACCCAGAGGGACTATAAGAAACTGAAAGGAAGTGAACCGAAGACAACGAACTCGAAGGCTGCACAAGGGCGAAAGAAACATACGAGAGACTGGAGCAACCTAAAACTATGAAGAAGGAACTGAACCAACAAAAAAAGACTAACGGGAATCAGACCGACGGAAGACGGAAAGGGATAACAGGGCGGCGGCGGCAGCGACGACGACGACGTCCACGCTGACGGCGACGACGACGACGACGACCGCAGCAGCGCCGAAGCCGAGGATGGCAGCGGCGGCGGAGCCGGCTACGCCGACGCCGACGACGACGACGACGACGACGACGCCGCCGCCGACGACGACGACGACGAACGGCGTCGGCGACAGCGATGGCGACGACGACTTCGGCCGAAATCCGCTCGAAATAAATTCCCGGATCTCTCTCGGGGTCCCTCCCGACGCAGTTGCTTACCCCAGATCGATCTCCAGCGACCCCGAGACCCGAAAACCGCCCCCGGAGGGCCGAAAACGCGGAAAATCTCCCCGATCCGTGAAGATCGAGAATCGAAGTTCGACAGATGGCCACGTCCTCGATCGCAGTTTTTCAACCCGGATCGACTTCCAGAGGCCCCGGGAACCGAAGGCGGCCCCCTGGGGCCGAACCCGCCGAGAAACCTCCCCGAGCTCCGCAATTCGAAAAGCAAAGTTTTTCAATACGGGGTCCCCGGTGGTCTCCCGAGGTCCCGAAAACTTCCCCAGGTTTTCCGTCCTGAGTCACATTCTAATGATCCTAGGGCCCGTTGAAGACTTACGAAGGCCGACAATTGCGAAAACCGATGTGCTAGACAAATCCGCCGACCCCTTTGGTCTCATCGGCGTGTCAGATGCTCCCCCTCTCCCCAAACCCCTCCCTGGGGGCCTCGTCTGGTCGATCAGGAGGGGAAGCGCCCGGCCAGCCGGCGTACACGCGCCATGAGACAACACAGAGCTCCACGACGAGCCAAAAAGGCCCCAAGAGGCTCCCGAGCCGGTCCAAGAAGCCCCGAGTCGCCGAAACATCGTTTCAAGACGCCCAGGATGGATTCCAGACGGCCAAAGATGCTTCCAAGACGTGACCCTACGAATACGGCGGCGGTGCGCGGCTCGGGCGTACGAGTGGGGCTGCGTACGGCTACTGGTATGACTGCGACGTGCACGGCCGAGCGTACGAGTACGGCTACGTACCGGTACGAGTACGACTGGAGGGGGCGTACGAGTTCGGCGACGTGGGCCTACTAGTACGGCAGCAGAATGCAAGGACGGCCGTACTAGTACAGCTACGCACGCCTACTAATACGGCGGCGGTGTGCCAGGTCGGGCGTACGAGTACGGCTACGTACGGCTACGAGTACGACTGCGACGTGGCCGGCCGAGCGTACGAGTAGGGCCACGTACGCGTACTAGTACGACCGGAGCGGGCGTACTAGTACGGCTACGTAGCCCTACTAGTACGCCTGCGGCGTGCACGGCCGAGCGTACGAGTACGGCTACGTACGGCTACTAGTACGCCTGTGGCGTGCACGGCCGAGCGTACTAGTACGGCTACGTAGGCCTACTAGTACGCCTGCGGCGTGCACGGCCGAGCGTACGAGTACGGCTACGTACGGCTACTAGTACGCCTGCGGCATGCACGGCCGAGCGTACGAGTACGGCTACGTACGGGTACTAGTACGCCTGCGGCGTGCACGGCCGAGCGTACGAGTACGGCTACATACGGGTACTAGTACGCCTGCGGCATGCACGGCCGAGCGTACGAGTACGGCTACGTACGGCTACTAGTACGCCCCGCGGTCGTACTAGTAGGACGAAGTAGGCCTACTAGTACGACGACCGGGAGAAGCAAGCCTATTCTGCATTCCACACTGTCCACGCGACGGAAGTTGTAGATCTTCGAAGCCTGCGTGCAGACAAAGTTGCTGTACGGATTGTACGCGGCGTGGCTCCGGAAACACGAGTTGGCCAAACTCGACAGTTTCCACGTGTGGTGTCTGCGGAAGGTTTTAGGGATACCGCATTCATACAGTAGTCGCATCTATAACGCAGAAATTCTGGAAAAGGCCCGCCAACCGCCTTGGAGTCGCATGCTGTTGCACCGTCAAGTATGCCTTTTTGCGTAAATCGCCCAACACCTGGATGATCATCCGGTGCTGCGTGCGGTCGTCCAGCCGTCCTCTTCGGAACTGCGTTCGCCAGCCTGCAGACGCCCCCGGGGCATGCCGAAGCATTCATGGTCAAATGAGTTGCATATGCACGCGAAGTGAGTCTGCGAGAGCAATGCGTATGATTTTCGACAACTCGCGGCAATTCCAGCAGAAGCCTGGAAAACCGTTGTGCGGCACTACTGCCCATAGTGTTGCATCACTGCCCATAGGCTTCGACACCCGGCTTGCATTCATTCATTCCTCGCTCCTCCCCCATGGAGAAGGGCAACCGCTCTGGCCCAGACCGCGAGCGCGCGAAAAGCCAATATTCTGGCGCCCCTTTTGACCCAAAGGTGGGGGTGTCGTTGTGGCCAACTGCCCCAGGGTGTGCCGAATTTGAGGCGGCGGTGCCATGCGAACCCTGCCACTGGGGCCGTCGGTTGAGCTCCCTATCGGGCCACGAAGCAGCGCGTGAGGGGTGTGCCGAAATGGAGGCGGCGCTGCCATGCGATCCCTGCAACTGGGGCCTTAGGTGGAGCTCCCTATGGGGCCACGAAGCGCGTGAGGGGTGTGCCGAAATGGAAGAGGCGGTGCCATGCGAACCTTGCCACAAAGGCCTTCGGCGGAGCTCCCGATGGGGTCACGAAACGTGTGATGGGTGTGCCGAAATGGGATGGGCATGCAGAGAGCAGGGGCAGGGAGGGGAGGAAGGAGGTGGGGGAGGAGGAGAAGAGGAGGAAGGAACGCTGGGCGCTGTCTCTTCAAAACGAGGTTCCACCACCGCAGGATGGTTTGGTAAAATGACTCCAGGGGAAACAAGAGACTCCAAGGAGGAGGGAAACAAAAAGCCTCCCACACCCCCTAACGGGCCTCGAGAAGCGGCCTCGAGAAGCGGCCCCGAGGGGTGGAGGGCGCCGCCGGGACCGACGCGCGCAATCCTTCGGAGGGCTGGGAACCCTGAGATCCGACGTCGCGGACAACGCCCTGACATCGTGGACAAAAATCACGAGCGGAGTTTCTGCGGCATGCCTCGAGCCGGATCGATCCGGGAGGGCTGCGACGCCAGGATCTCGGAAAACGACGGCGACGACAGCGACGACCACGGCGGCGGCGGCGACTTCGCGCGAGCCGGAGCGGGGCGGCCCCCGCTGCGGGGGCGCGCGACTCCGCAGGGGCTGGTTCGCAGAGGGTGAGGCTTGCAACCGGCATCCGGGGGGGCGCCCTGGGGGGCGGGCGGGGACCTCGATGGAGCTTGATGGGCCTGTTTTCCACCACCACCACCACCATAAGTAGGAGGGGGAGGGGTCCTCCTCCTCCTCCTCCTCCTCCTCCTCCTCCCTTCCCCCGTCCAACTTGTGGCGGTGGTGGAAAACACAGGCCCATCAGAGAGCTCTCCGCCGCCTCCCCGAGGAGGCCCGCCGAGGGCGGTGCCGTGCCCCTTGCCCTCCAGGCCCCCGCGGCGCCGATCGCAGACACCACAGCCGGGCGAGAGGCCACGCCGTCGGGAGTCGCCGCAAAGGGGTGCACGGCGCGCCTCGCCCATCTTCCGCAGGTCCCGCCCCATCTCCAGCGCCTGGCGCCCGGGTGGTGCGCCGCCCCCGCGCGCCCCGCCCGGGTGGTCCTCCGCTCCTCCCGGGCGTCCGCCGACGAAGGGGTCTCAGCCCCATTCACGACGGCGAACATGGCGACGGCGACGCGGACGGCGAAGACCAAGAACACGACCACAACGACGACGACGACGACGACGACGACGACGACGACGACGACCACGATGGCGACGATGGCGACGACGACGACGGCGACGACGGCGACGATGGCGACGATGGTGACGACGACGACGACGACGACGACGACGACGACAACGACGACGGCGACGACGACGACGATGGCAATGACGACGACGACGACGACGACGACGGCAACGACGAGTACGGTGACAACGACGGCGACGGTGACGACGACACCAAAAACGACGACGAAAATCAAGACGACGACGACGACGACCACGACGAAGACGACGACGACGATAGCGACGACGGCGACAGCGGCGACGATGATGAAGATGACGAAGACGGAGACGACGGCGACGACGACGAGCCCGACGGCGACAACGGCGACAACGGGGACGACCAAGTGCGACCGACGGCGACGACCACGATAAGCAAGAGGACGACGATGCTCGAATCGAACCGAATCAAGACGAACATCGAATCGACCTCGAATCCAATCGACCCTCAAATTCGAATCGAATCGAATCGAACCTCGAATCGAACCTCGCCCAGCCCGGCCTTGCAGGGTCCCGCAGGATCCTGCAAGATCCTGCGCGCAGGCCCGTGTCAATGCACACCTGGCTCTGCAGGATCCTGCAGGATCCAGAACTCTGGCTTGATGGGCCTGTCTTCCACCACCACCATAAGTGGGAGGGGGAAAGGCGGTGGAGGAGGAGGAGGACCCCTTCCCACTCCAACTTCTGGTGATGGTGGTGGAAAACATGCCGATCATGGCTGACCCCCGTTTGCATTGACCCCCCTCTCTTACAGTAGGGCGGGGAGCCGACACCCCCCTCCGCTTGGGAGCCCCAAGACGGTACGGTGACTGGCCGTGCGGGGACCTCGGAACCCCCAGCGACCTTACCGCGCGACGACGACGAGGAACGATGACGACGATGATCGGGGGGAACGAAAGGGGGGGATAGCAAAGGGTATAGGGTAGAGAATCAGCTCACGTAGCTGACTTTCCCAGCGCCTCCCGGCGCCGGGAGGCGCCCAAGTATCGAGGAGTGGGCCTGGAAGCGGGCCGGAACCACCTGCGTGCAGCAGATTTCGTAGCCCCTCCTTTCCCCATCCCTCCTTTTCCTTCGGCCCGAGACGAACCGACCCCCCTTTCCCTAAATCCCCCACTCTCCCTGTCCCCCTCCCTTCGTTCGGCCGTGCGGTGACCTCGGAACCCCCAGCGACCTCACCGCGCGACGACGACGAGGAACGCTGACGACGACGACCCCCGGCTTGAAGCTCCCACGATCGGGTCGGGCGAAAGAGGGGGAGAGCAAAGGGGGCGTTTGAGAATCAGCTCGCGCAGCTGATGTTCCCGGCGCCTCCCGGCGCCGGGGGCGGCTACGTATCGGGGACTGGGCCCCTCGGTGAAGCCGAAGCCGGCTGCATATATGCAGCAGATTTCGCAGCCCACCCTTTCCCCATCCCCCCCTCTTTTCGCCCGGCCCGACGCGAGAGCCGAGCATGCTCGCGGTCGGGTCTGGCGAGGGCCGCCCGGGCGCCTTGCCGAGCGCCTCGTCGTGCCCCAGGGCGGGCGTGCCGCCTCTCCCGGCCAGCGCGGCGCGCGGGGGGGGGGGGGCAAGGCGCGGCGGCGACGAGCGCGGCGCGAAGCGAGCGCTCGGTGGCCGCTCATGGGGAGCCTCCCCTGGGCCGCGGAACGATACTCCAGATCTCGTAATAAAAGGGAGGGGGTCTGGACCCTCCAAGACAAGCCATTTCAGACCCCCCCTCGTGGGAGAACCCTCCAAAACATCGTCCCCAGACCCCCCCAGGCCCTCCAAGATAGCTTGGGAAAGACCCCCCCCCGAAATGAGACCCCCCTCCCTTTATTACGAAATCTGGAGCATACTCGCACTATCACAGGAAGACAAAAGTGGCAGAAACATAGTTAAAACTCGGAGGTCCGCGCGGATTTCTCGGATCGGCGCTGGACCCCCCTCCCTGGCGCGCGGAGCGCGCCAGGGGCGGCGCCGGAGGCGCCGCAGGGGGGGGCCCAGCACCGATCGGAGAAATCCGCGCGGACCTCCGAGTTGTGATGTTTATCTCACTTCTTGTTCCCCTATCTCGTGAGCCCCCCTCGGAGGCGCACGCCCGAACCGAACAGACACTTCAACCATCTTGTAGTGGAGCATCGTTCCCCGAGCGGCGTGGTCCGAACTCGCCCACCACGGAGCCTATACCACAAGACTTCTCGGCGCGCGCATCGCCCCCGAGGGGGCGACGCTTACATAGTACTAGCACGTTGGGGGTGGCGCCGATCCCATGCCAGCTTGCTGGCTCTTGCGAATCGACGCTGCCCGACTCTCATCGACGCTAAGTGGACGCTTGTCGACACTACATCGGCGCTTTCTCAGCGCACGCTAGCGCACTCTACAGACGAAATTCCGGATACATAGAAGGCTCCCATGATTTGCTTCCGGACAAGTGAGTCCCGCGGAAAACGGGCCCAGAACCTGGGGCCTTGTTCCCTCAGGACCAGCTTCTCCTCCCGAGTAAACCTTTGATGCTCCCAGGACCCGGGGGACACCTCGGGACCCGTTTCCTTCAGGACCCGTTTCTGGCCATCGCTCGGACGTCCATTCCCTGTGTTTCTCGGTTTCGTGCGTGGCTTTTTCGCCGAATGATCAAGGATGCTCCTCGATGGTCCTCGCCGAAGGAAAAATGCACGTCCGAGCGATGCCAAGGTTTGCTTCATGGCGAGGCAACGTAACGAGGCGGAGCTGCCTCGCCGTCGTTGCAGCCGGCGCCGTTGCTGCCGCGGCCGCCGCGGCCGCCGCCGCCGCCGCCCGTCGGCCCGGCGCTCGGTCGCTGGCGGCGGCGCTGCCGCCGCGGCCCTCGGCCTTCGGCGTCGCGGCAGCTGTCGGCGACGCCGCCGCCGCCGCCGAGGTCGTCTGCTCGTTCACCTCGTTATCAAAAGTGAAGATGCGAGGCGGGGACTTATCCATATCCACCCTGGGCGCCGACGCCCTGGCGCCCCAGCGGGCGGTGGATACGGATACAATTGTGTCCCCAGGGTACGGATCATATCCATATCCATCGCCTGCCTAGGTTCCTGGGAATTGATCCTCCAGGCGGTGGTCATACGTAAATTCCCCCCGCGGAAACAAGACACATAGATCTAGAAACTTCTGGGGGTCCGCTCGGAGCTCTGTGGTCCGCGCCAGGACCCCCCCACCCCGGCGCGCGGACTGCGCCAAATGCAAAGCCCGATCCGAGAAATCCGCGCGGACCTCCCGAAGATTCTGCTGATGTGTTTTTCTTCTTCGAAGTCAGCCCGCGCACGTGGGGTGTGTAGGGCAACAAAAACACCTCATCATAAATACCCTGACAAGGGGGCACCCTTTCAGTAAACACGCGCACGACGAAGGAATCGAAGAGGACGGGGTTGCTCAGCACACGCCAGCTCTGGTAGAAGAAGAAGAAGAAGGACAATGGCCATACCATAAACATTTGTCGCTCCGCGCGGATTTCTTGAAAATGCACTGGACCCCCCTCCCTGGCGCACGGAGCGCGCCAGGGGCGGCGCCGGAGGCGCTGCCAAGGGGGCCCAGGCGCCGATCCAAGAAATCCGCCCAGAGCGCCAAAAGTTAATGCTCATGGCGTTTTCTTCTTCGATATGGGAGTCGGCGTGACCCGTCGTCCCTTGATGTGTGGGCCGAGGCATGGAGGGCCATGAGAAGGAGATCGGCGAAGGTTTCCAGAAGAGAGGCACTAGGAGCAGCTTGTGGCGCTGCCGACGCCCACGCGCCCCCATCGGGGCCTCCTGTGGGGCCCCCCAAATGTGTTGCAGTGCCCTCCGTGGGCGGATACGGCAACGACTACCTACCAGACCACCCCAACCCAATCCGAAGACACGAACTTGACTCGAATTTTGGGTTGGGGTGGGACGGGGCCCATGTGCTTTTTCAATGTTCCCCGACCCCCCCCCCCGCTGACTTGAAATGGAAGACGAATAGAGGCCTTCGGGCTGGGTTGGGGTGGTTTGGTGGGTGGAGATGGAACGAACGAGCACAGGGACACGAACAGCATGTGCACGGCGAGGACGATGAAGACACGAGCAGCATGTGTCACGACGACGGCGACGAGGGCGAAGTGCACCAGCTCAACAACCAGGATCCGGGCGGAGACCACGATGCACGAGCCCGGCAGGCGCTTCAGTGAGATTGGAAGCGATGGGTTGGCGTCTCAAGACGGTGCGGCATGGGTGGAAGAACTTCGGCATTCGGCCACCCAGGCAAAGCTGAGCCATCCGCGGACCAGCACCGCCGTGCGGGCAGGTGGACCACGTGGTCGCATGCGCCATGGGGCACAAAGACGGCCGAGGGCGCCGAGCGCACGCGGCTTCCGCGCACCTTCCCGTCCTGAACACCGCGTGCGCGTGGAAGCTGGCACGTCAGAGCTGCGCATGGCTCAAACGTCTCAACCTGCTCGGGATGATGCTGGGTCCTCCACCAAATCGCACGCAAATGCTGGCACGGAGGGCTGCCGTGCTTCAGCCGGCTCAGGTGAGCGCGCAGACTGAGGCTTTGTGGGCCCCAGAAACGGCAGGGCCGTTTTTTCACCGTTTCCAAAGAAATGTCCCTTGAACATGGAAACGGCAAAAAAGCTGCGACCGGAAACGGCAAAAAAACGGCTCCAGGATTGGAACCGGAGCCGGAGCCGGCCAAAAAACGGCGACGAAGGCGGTAAAACAACGGCGTCGGAACCGGCAATAAAAAAAGCAAAACGGAACCGGTAAAAAAACGGCCCTGTCGTTTCCAGAGGGCCCACTGAGGACTGAGGTACTCCAGATTTCGTAACAAAGGGAGGGGGGGACTCATTTCGGGGCGGGGTCTCTTCCAGGCTATCTTGGAGGGCCTGGGGGGGGTCTGGGGACGGTGTTGTGGAGGGTTCTCCCGCGAGGGGGGGTCTGACATGGCTTGTCGTGGAGGGTCCAGACCCCCTCCCTTTTTTATTACGAAATCTGGAGTACCGATACCGCTCCCCATTGCCCCTTGTTCGCCCTCTGGGCCTCCTGGGAGGCCCTCGTCGCCACGGCTGGATTCGCCGCGAGATTCTTGCTGGATTCGCCACGGCTGGATTCGCCCCTCCCTTTTTTACTACGAGATCTGGATAAACCAATACCGGCGTTGGTGGAGCTCTGCAGCCGGCCTCCTGGCGAGTGCGGCAGTCGGAGCTCCGGCCCGACTATATAGCTCTGCCGGGGGCCCCGGCAGCTCTGCCGGTGACACCTGCAGCTCTGGCGGCGGTCCTCGCAGGTCCGCTGGCGTGCCTCTCGCCGCGTCGCGCTCGGCCGCCCATTCTGTGTGTGCTGCTCGGTTTCGTGCGCGTTTTTGTTCGCTGTTCTCTCGTCCTCTGTTTCGCCAAATGGTCAAGGATGCTCCCGATGGTCCTCGCCTCTCCATGTTCAAGGATGCTCCCGATGGTCAAGGATCCTCCCCAAATGGTCAAGGATGCTCCCGATGTTCCATTCTGTGCATTCTTCTCGTTCTCTGTTTTCGCCAAATGGTCAAGGATGCTCCCCGGTGGTCCTCGCCGAGAAAAAACAATGCACACGTCCGAGCGATGCCAAGTTCTCGCAGGCTTTAACGCGCTGACATGGAAGTTTAGCTTGTGACTGCTGTAACTCTGCGGTCGCTTCGAGCAGCTCTTGCGCCATGTTGCTCCCATCGTACTTAGGGGCCGCATCCCAGACATGACTCCGAGCACCCCGAAAAGTGTCGAAAGAGCGTCGAAGCAGTGTCGGACGAGCGTCTCCCGAGGTCCGACACGTGAAATCCCTCGAGCCTCGGCACGATTTTGGTGCTCGAAATTCTTCCTGGTGGCCAGGGCCCCAGCAGGCTGGAACATCCTAACTCTCTTGCGGTGACCCCTTGGGGACCTGCCGGGGGCCCTCGCGGCTCTGCTTGTGGCCAGCGGGGCTCGGCGCTGGCCCCGGAGGCCGTGCCTCTGGCCCTGGCAGCGCCGCGGGTGGCTCTCCTGCCTGTGCTTGCGGCCCTCGTAGGCTAAGACGGGCGTGTCCCCCTGCACGGGGATGTTGGGCGAGAGATAAGCATTACTCAAAACATGCCCCCCCAATGGGCAAAACTATCAAAAGTCGTCCAGAGGCTATTTGACTATTTTTGAGTATTCCCTTGTCGAGGGGCAGGCCCGACTTGATCGTAGGTCCCCGGTGGTCATCGTAGTTCTCCACGTTGCCCCCCTTCAGGGGACACCCGAACCTCTTTCTGTTCGACCCCGTGGTCCAATGTGAGCCATCGGCTGGAAGGACGAAGCGCTCCGCTTTCCAATCGCCCTTGAAGCTGTAGCCCGTGTCGCATGAAGTGCCCCGCGCGTGTTCGAGCCGCATCTACTGTCGCCCATGTCCGCCTGGCTGTATTTAGTCTCGGCATGCTTGCCGGTCACTATCCACGTAGAGCGGGTAGATATCGTTGCCTTTGGCTTCTGCGGACCTAGGGGTAGATCACATCGAGATTGACAATGTTCACGTGGATCGCGATGTATAGTGCGATGATTTTGATAATGCTCCCGTAGATTGTATGCATTCCACGAAGATCGTGAAATACTTGGTCGCGAATGTATGGCACGGCGGGCTGTCCGTTGCGTGGTGGAGCGCGCTCGGGCCGGCCCCCCGGCCCACGGGTGGTGGGAAGTACGCTAGCCCAGGGATCAGATGGACCTCCTCCTACACGTCCTTATCCTCCTCCCTCCTCTCCTTTCCTCCCACTCCCTCCCCCTCGCCCTCCTCCTCCTCCTCCTCCTCCTCCTCATCACCACCATCATCAGCAGCATCATCGTCATCACCACCACCGCCACCAACACCATCACCATCACAATAACCATCACCATCCTCCTCCTCCTCCTCCTCCTCATCATCATCATCATCATCATCATAACCATCACGTCTGTCACCAAAATCATAACATCACCATCACCATCACCATCATCATCATCATCATCATCATCGTCATTGTCCTAGTCCTCCTCCTCCTCCTCATCACCATCATCATCATCATCAACACGGTCGCCATGCTAATCATTATCATCATCATAATCAGCAGGGTCATCATCAGTATCAGTATCCTCATCATCATCATCATCATCATCATCATTACCATCACCATCATCATAATAACCACTAGCATCAGCATCAGCACCATCATCACAATCACAATCACCATCACAAACACCATCACCATCACCACTATCACCATCACCATCACAATCCTCACCCTCATCCTCCTCCTGTTCCTCCTCCTCAT